AGAGCTATCACTGAACTGAATGTTGCTGCTAGGAGGTCACTAACTGGGATTCTGCTGGATAATTAGTGCACTACAGCACCTTTACAATAAGCTAGTCAACCCTGAAACCTCAACATGTGACTGTTTGCATTTATAGTGTGTTCACTTTGCATTTCAATTTGCAGTTATACTTTTACAGTTTTGCACCTTAAACTGGCTGTGTGTGTGAAAGTTGTGTGTGTGTGTGTGTGTGTGTGTGTGTGTGTGTGTGTGAGAGAGAGAGAGAGCGTGACATCTATTTTAGCCACATTTTATTTTACTCGTTTTACTACCTCTTACTTCAGCTGTCTTTAGTGAGTGCAAAGACAATTTCGTTGTATTATATCTGTAATGGCGGCTAATTTGCAGTGAAGTACGTTTCACGTCCGGTGGAAAGAAGGCTTTAGGCTAAGACAAATAATTTTTTGTCTAATTTTAAGCAAGAAGTGTCAAGTTTGCAGGGTTTCAAATTCATCATTTGTTCGTGGAAAAATTTCCAAAAACTTGAACCGTTTAAACATTGAAGGACGTTTCTAAACGGAGGTTTGTTTGAGCTAGAGCTCCAAAATGAGTTTTTTTTAAACCAAAATCTTATTTGTTGAAGTAGTTTGCAGCTTTTAACAATCTTTCTCTGTCAAATGCACAGCAATCAAAAGTGGCCAACTACACAACATTTTCCCAAGGTTTCTCTTTTCTTTAAGGGTTTTCACTAAACTGCTGGTAGAGGAAAAAGCAAACCAAAAACTCAAGCTGAAAATAAAAGATTAAGAATGTTTCAATCTGCACGCAACCTTGATAAATTCTTATTGGACAAAGTGTAATCAAACATAAAGGGGTCTGTGCTGGCCAATATTGATGAAAGCTCAGATTTGACCCTGTTTTTGTTTGCCTCCACGCCACAAAGAAGCTATTTTCCTGCTCGTTTAATTGGCAAAGTGGAATGCATTGACCTCGTCCAGACCTGCTACACATTAACCTTGACAGTCCTGCCGAAACAGAATGTTATCAGCTGACCAGGTCACATCTCAAAGTGATGCTCCAGCATTTGTGTGAATAATTCATGTGAGATGGGAGGGGGGAACTGGCCGAGGAAACTTCAGAGCCAATCATTTGGCAAAGTGTACATAAAGGTCTCTCATGCTTATAGCTATTGATTATGTGCCCCCTTAGCAAGACCCCTGGCAATAGATTACAAACAAAATAGACAACAAGACGGGCTTGCTGTCCACACCCATTAAGTGTTAACTGTATAAGAGGAAAGGGGCTGGAACTGATGAAACCAAGAATTTGAACGTGCAGCAGTCTCATACATGTGAGATACATGGATTTCTGAGAATAATAGCTTAATTAAGCTCCATCTTTTCCATGTAGGAGCAATAAGTGAATGTGGAATGTACAGGATGACAGAACCCTAAAGAGAGGATTTGTCTGTTACACCTTAATCCGTTAAGAAACTCTTCTGCGGCAGCTGTAGCAAAGCCGATTTCAAGTCTGCAGATAACATCAGCGGGCATCAGGGAGACTGCAGCTCTCAGAGGGAAACCGCTCTGCTGATATGCAGATGTGCAGAGTCTGAGGATTATTCTGATGGACAATGAATAAATTTAGATGGGTTTTTTCGTGTAGTTTGGACGTGTGTTGGTGTTATTTCCTAATCTAATGAAAAGGTGTGAATAATAATTTAGAACAGTTTTACTTAGTAAAAATGTGTTAAATGCTGGTTGCTGAGAGATGTTGGCTTAGCTCCCTGCATCTTAATTCAGATAATTGGGCAAGGATTGATATTTGTGGAGGGCCTTGTCACACATTGCATTGTTCACATTAGGCCAGTGAATAGTGAAAAGCTTGAAAAGAGAAAATTCTCGAACCATGCATTGAAAAACTTATGTAAAAAAAAAGTTGCTTAGATCCAAAAGGATTGATATAATAACGGCTAATCTGAGTGAAGTTAGGACAAATAAAATAAATAAATCAGTGCTGTCTAACAAAAATTCAAACCTCTAAATTTTACAACAGTTCATACAATTTTTTTATAAACTTTTACAACCCCCAATTTTACGTAACATCGAGATTTGCACAGAATTCTGTGGCACAAATTATACCAACAGCAGCTAAATGTAGAACTTCCTGTTCAGCCAGGAAGGAAATCCTGCAAGAATTTTGCAACGGTTGTACTGAAATAACAATGTTATCAACAGTGGGTAAGAAAGTGAATATTAGAGATTCATCATTTCTGGTTTTGAAGGCCGGTCCCAACTTCTGCACTTATTGCACAACTTTAACCTGCCTGTACTCATTCTGATCGTTTCTGAATGGTCTCGTAAAACAAAAATAGACAGACTTTTCTCAGTTTTTATTTCTGATACATTTGCAAATTACTCTGGAAATAAACGTTTCCACATCAATGCTCTGTTATAGAGCTCCGGACCCCACGTGACTCTCAGTTAGTGGACGCCATTTTGGCATGCAAAAAAGGTAAACAAACACGGATGTAACCATGAACATGAACGGGATCCGCTTGGATTTTACTTCGTCGGAGTTTACTTCACACTTTAAAACAGAAGAAATCGTTTTATATAGTCAGAAATTAAATAGACTAAACATCTCCGACCCTTACCGTGCCCCTGGGATACTTTTTAAAAATGCCAGAAGTCGTAGCGGACTTCTTACCGGCACAACACCGGACCTGGCCGGGGAAACCCCTTGGGATTCCCCCGGCCGGAGGAGCTGGGGAGAAGGTCTGGGACTCTCGACTCTACTACCCGCTCCGACGCCAGAAGCTGTCGGAGCGGACCGGCACAGCACCGGACCTGACCGGGGAACCCCTTGGGATTTACCCGGAGGAGCTGGCTCCGGCGGCTGGGGAGAGGGAAGTCACGCTACTGCCCCAGCAACCCGACTCCGGATACGCGGATGAAAATGGATGGATGGACGGACAAATAACAGATTTACATGTAAGTAGTCTCGGTGACACAGATAATAGCAATCCAAAGTGCTTTTTATGTGTGATCTGATCAACCATTGCTTAAAAATTAAATACGGCTTAGCCGGTTAATTGCTGTCATCATAAAACACGTAAACGGCAGCACGCAGAACTCACGAGGCAACGTTTTACGTAATGTTTACTTGTTGCTATGAGTAATAAGACAGAAAAAGCCACGCCAAAATAAGTTTAGGAAGCCCACTAAGAATCATAATAAAAGCATTTAAAATAAATACCATACACAGTTGAGGAAACGTTGGTTTAAGTACCTGATATGAAGTGGTCGCAGCATAAGCGAAAACCTTTACTCTCGGGATCCCACAGCTTCATTTTCGCCCGGTCACTAGCGTGTTTTATTACAATGATCCAACGTTTGCGGCGCTCCGGATCTTGGGGAATCCTGTAGATGTCTCATTCCTTATGTCGTCCGCGTCTGTTCTGCATCCTGGGGCACAACAGGAATCTACCATATTTCCCGTTTGATTGAGTTTTCTGACAATAGTAAATAGTCCAGCTGCCGGCTTCTGCATGCCAATATGGCGCCGTTTCGATTTGAACTGTTGCATGCCGGGAGAAGTGACGTCAACTCCCGGAGCTCTATTGGCAGGGTTGGTGGCTACTATAGGCTCAAGACCCGATGACTCGAAAAATCTGAATTTTTCTTTTGAGAGGGGAAAAAATGCTTGAAATAAACGTGCAGTACCGACATATATGGGTTTATAATATGTATGTATATATATATATATATATATATATATATATATATATATATATATAATAAAAACACACAACATCAACAGAGAGCCTTCGATGCAAACTCAATGGGACTGTGGAAAACCACCCTTGAGGCCAATTGCACAAGTCTCCATCAAATGTGGCTGATACCAAGGAGACACCCTGTCCCCACTGCTGTTCTGCATAGGTCTGAATCCCCTCAGCTAAATAATCCACATGACTGGCTATAGCTACCGCAACAAGAATAGAACCACGATCAGCCACTTCCTCTACATGGATTAATAAAGCTGTATGCCAAGAGTGAGCGAGACATTGACTCACTGATCCACAATGCCAGGATCTACAGCACTAATATTGGAATGTCATTCAGACTTGAGAATTGTGGTTGAATGGTGACAAAGAAAGGGAAGGTAGTCCACACAGAAGGGGTCTCCCCCCCCAGAAGGACAGCTACTCTGCTTTTATTTTAAGAGTGGGTTAGCTAGAAGGCATTCTGAGGGATTGTGAAAAGTAAACCCCAAATACACACAGCACATTTTACAGGTTACACACAATTATTTACAATAACAGACAACTTAATATTTCTAATATAAAGCTCAAAAGTTATTAGACTTCTCTGGCATTCGGAGTGTAATGGTTGTGACGCAATGCATTGTGGGAAACTGCTGTCCCAAGTCCGCAAAATGATGCATTGATGCATCCTCGGTACAATAGGCAGAGAAAGAACACATCCAGGAACTTTGAGTGAACTTGCGATGATGCATACTTAGGATTGGAACAGTCCTTGGGCCATCGTTGATGACATTTCACAAAGACGTGAGTACACAAGTACAGACAAGTATGCATGTGGAGAAACGGCCAAACAGTCTAAAGATTTTAGAATCAACTCAATCCAAGATGGCTGCCAGAGCTGCTCAATCTTAAAAACAAACAGAAAAAAAAGGCTTCAACTCATTATAAAAGTAATAGTGGGTAGGGGTAATCTCCAAGATGTACTCTGAGCAATACTTTGTTGCAAGGCATCTTTTGTCATAACTTTGTATATGGTTTAACATTTTAGGACAAATAATTTGGTGTTTATTCAAAACAATCTGAGGGTGTACAAAAACACCACAAATTCCACCGTGTCATTGATAGTGTAGTGAATAATGCTTTTTTCTTTAATTTAAACAAAGACAAAATTAAAAAGCACTAAAAGCAACATTCATTAGTTTAATTTTTAAATAGATTCTGGAATCTTTCAATTAATGCAACCATTGGCTACCATGAAAACAACTCTGCATTAAAAAAACTGTCACTTCTGAGAGGACACTTTCAACAGGCAGAGAGTATTTCAACACCTTCACAGAAACAGTAAGAAAAATAATGCTTTTTAAAACTTTATGGCAAGACTGTATACTCATCTGACCATCTGAAGTGACTTTTGGAAATTTTACCCGAATTAGTTAAACATGGCTACAGATTTTAATTGTTATTTCTGTAGCATTTCTTCTGATATGTTGTGTTCTTTTGAATATTCCAGAGGTGATTCCTGGATAGAGTGGAGTGGAGAGTCATGTCGTCACTGGAAGAGGTTGGTTGATTTTGATTGTTGATATATGAGATTTTGGTCAAAAGTTTTGACAATTAAGTCAAGTAAGTTGCGTTGGATAGGCACATTAGACAAATGCAATAACAAAGAATATTGTTGCTAAGAAACCTCTAGTAGGCTTGCTCAATAACATCCAGTATACCAATATTGTTGACTCTTTAATCCGATAACGATATAAATGAAAAATAAAAAAACTAAAAACATTTAGGTCATTATCTCCCATCATGCATGCTTACATTTTAAACATTTTCTGTATAAAATGACAACTTCTTTAAGCTAGTAATAAGAAAAGTGCTGAATCTCAGTCTCCCCAAGTGTGATGTTTAGATGTGTGCATTAGTTTGTAATGTATTATGTATGTATAATTTCTTTTTTGTAATTTGAATTTGAAAAGATCGTCAGATAAGAAAAGCAAGCCTTGGGTGAAGATTCTTGCTTTTGTTTTAGTCGTTTGTCACTACAGAAGAAATTTCTACTTCACAGTTAGAGCTAAAAAACTAAAATATCTCAAACACTTTACCTCAGATCTGTCATATTTTGACATTTTGAGAAAGAGGGGATGCAGCTGAAGAGTTTGATGTATAATATGTGTATGATATGTAACAGTTGTGGCATTAAAAGACTGAAAACTGATACTGTTATTTTCTGATTTACAAATTAATACAGATATCAGCCGATTTTAATGGTAGACCGATAATACAAGACATCCCCATTCTGAAGCATTTGTAAAAAAAACGTAGACAATATTCCAAACTTTTAAATAATGTTCTACTTATAAATGTGTTTTTTTTATTTTTTTATGTTAGAACTGAGATTATCTGCTTATATTTTTCCAAATGTAACATATGTTTGTGGGGTAACATTTCTGAAGGTAACTGGATTAACAGTTTTTATTTTCTCTATTTAAAAGAACCAGACCTGTCAGGAAAAGGAAAAGGTCGAGGAAGACTTGAGTCTCAGACCATTGGATCACCCTAACAAGGCAAAGAAGCTGCATAGCTGTGAGCACTGTGAAAAGACCTTTGATTTACCATTCAAGTTAAAATGCCACCAGCAGATCCACACTGGGGAAAAGCCATTTCCTTGTGACCAGTGTGGGAAAACCTTTTCTTATTCAAGTCATTTGAAATGTCATCTGCGGATCCACACTGGGGAAAAGCCATTTCCTTGTGACCAGTGTGGGAAAACCTTTTCTCGTTCAAGTAATTTGAAACTTCATCAGCGGATCCACACAGGGGAAAAGCCATTTCCTTGTGACCAGTGTGGGAAAACCTTTTCTCATTCAAGTCATTTGAAATGTCATCTGCGGATCCACACTGGGGAAAAGCCATTTCCTTGTGACCAGTGTGGGAAAACCTTTTCTCATTCAAGTCATTTGAAACGCCATCAGCGGATCCACAATGGGGAAAAGCCATTTCCTTGTGACCAGTGTGGGAAAACCTTTTCTTGTTCAAGTAATTTGAAACGCCATCAGCGGATCCACAATGGGGAAAAGCCATTTCCTTGTGACCAGTGTGGGAAAACCTTTTCTCATTCAGGTAATTTGAAACGCCATCAGCAGATCCACACTGGAGAAAAGCCATTTCCTTGTGACTAGTGTGAGAAAAGCTTTTCTCAGTCAGGACATCTGAAAGGACACCAGCGAATCCACACAAGAGGGCATCAGTAACATGTGTGACCAGTAGAAAGAGAGATTGCGTGTCATTATCAGCATATTTACATTGATGTCGCCATAAATAAAAGTAATTTTACTGGGTCAAAGGTTCAAGCCCAAAACCATTGTTTCAATAATAATATTCTGCATTCAACTCAGTGTGTGACATTTTCTTTTAAATGCAAATACACACAAAACAATGATTATCTTTGCTTAACCAAACATTGTAAAATTGCTGCCTTTTAAAGGTTTTTATTCCTTGTTTCATATGAAAAAATAAACACTTCTGCATCCACTATGTTTACGTTTTGAAAGAGAGCCCACAGTAATGTTACTCAGCTGTTTGTTCAGTCCATAGAAAAAGAATAAACATTAGCATTTTACTTTTTAAGAATTTTAGATCAAGTCATGCAAGTTTTAAGTGTTTTTCAGATAAGTCAGATGAGCTTAATAGTTTATTATTTGGTTTATAAAAAATATTCTAGATTCACAGAGTTTTTGCACAATCAGACTTCTAAAAGCAGCAGTTTATTGTTGCCAACAATGTCAAGGCAACAAGTTAACTAAATCTTTATTATGTTATCAGATGAATTCACAAATGTGATCTGGTTTTTGTTTGCTGTACGGTGGTCAGAATAGAAAAGTTGAGATGTGTTAGCATTAAAAAAAGCACATATTTTTTGCACCTGCTAAAAAAATCCATCATTCCTTAAAGAGCAAGTCACCCCCAAATTAACTTTTTTTCTTCTGATGAACCTAATAAATGCGTGTTCAGCCACGTGTAGTCAATAGTTTAGCACTTTAGTGCATTTTAGTAAAAATTTAAATGTTCTGCCAAAAACTGTCAGTGTTGTGCTGTTGTCAGGTAAAAACTCTGCACTGCTGTTTAAATCTGCCATCGCTATTGGCTAAGAGGTACCCTAGAACGTTGGCTGGTACGATATGATGTCACAATGTCATTGTGAGCCTGTGTGTGTGTGTGTGTGTTTGTTTGTTAGCGGCTCCGCCCTCTCGGTCTGCTAGGCAACAGCATTTGTTGCATTTTTCAAACAGGAAGTGGGAGTGGAGTAATACTCTGGTGACTTGCTCTTTATAGCTAAGCCCTGGAACGTCTTCAATCCTTATTACACTCCTGGTTATTGGCATGGGTTAGTGTTAGCATGAATTAGCACTTAGCAATGGTGTGTTCATGGATAAGAAAAAAATATTGTATTTTTGTATTGTTGTTTTATATGTATTTTATCTGGACCTAAGAGTCTTTCAATAAAGATTATCTATCTTTATATTGCTATTTGACAACACTGCATTCAGGAGTCAAAGAAATAAAAAATGTCCATCTCAGATTGTCTTTCTGCAGATAAAGTCAATCATAATGACTGTTGGCCAATTCAATCAACAGCTGATTTTCCAGCTATTATTTAAATCTTTTCCACAGAGATGCACTTCAGGAATGGCCAAAAAAATCCCTTTAATGCATCCAGATTTAAAATGCACCAAGGGAATTGTGTTGAATTAGAAACATGGAGGACAAAACCATCATAGGATGAAAGAATCACTGGATGCAGAGATGAATAATTAAACACAGCAACAGAATGGGATTCTGCACCTTCCTTTGGAAGCAACATGATAATGATTTTTCGAGGATTTGTCAGTCATCTACTTTGTAGGGTTTTAATCTAACAGGGATACGTATTGTTCTCCTGCCAGTTTTGGCCTGCAACAACTCTTAGCTTCCTATTTTATTTAATATATGCAAATGTAATAAATGTGAGCTCCTAATAAGTGAGAGGGGCCAAGTGGCAAAATGACAAAGCAAACTGGGCTAATCCCTGTCGTCACAGCCTTCCGATTCCCTGTCCCTGCTTTCATTCTTCCACATTTAGTTTTTTTTTTTTTTTTTGCTACTGTGCAAATTTGGAAGTGACTTGAGCGCTGCTGCGTCCGCCACAGCATCTTACCTTATCAACAAAGCTGGCATGGCAACCTGTGCAATCTCTTCATTTAAAATTACAAGGAGCATTATGAAAATGATTCCTGGAGATGCAGTTTTTTTAACCACACCCCGCTGACTCCGACATATAGACTGAAAAATGTGCACAAGATGCAGGAGTGAAAATGCTGCAAGCTGGCAATTGTACCTGTGCCGCTCTGCACAATGCAAATTAATTCACCAGTCAGTGAAATTTGGTACAGAGGTGGCTTTGTGTGGAAGGGAGGGCCAGCTCAACTTCATATTTGCATTCTTTATTCTTTATTCTATATTTATTATTATTTTATTGGCCCGATTGAAAACAAGTTGGCGTCATCTCCCACCAAATAAGTCACAGCTTTGTCTGGAAAACGCTGCAGTACAGAGAATAAAAAAGATGATCAATAAATCTCTTCATCTCTTTCTTTTTTATCTCCTCTACAGTTCAGCATCATTATATGTTGTTTAACTTGACAAACGTAGAGCGACAGGAGAAAATGTGAGCTCCTGATGGTGTTTGTTAGATCATCATTCCTGCTGCAGAGGTAAGTCTGATTAATAATTGTCTTTCAACCGGCGAGACTGAGCCACGGGGGAGAGAATGGATGACAGTAATCACATCCTTGGAGGTGCTGCAGAGTTTGTTGTACCTGGATTCAGGGAGAAGGTTGAGGAGAAGGAGAAAGACCCACAAGCTCAGGTCCTGTGATTTAGCTTTCCGGATTACAGCTGCCATGTTGGTTCAGACTGGAGGCTCCTGCATAGAAACAGAAAAGAGACTGGTGAATTGAGTCTGAGCAAAGCTAAAAACGGCCATTTCAATTTCTTACCAAATAGAGTAAATTAGGGTTAGCCCTAACCCTAATAAGGGGACTAACAGCAGACAGCAGGAAGCAAGTCTCGTAACAAAACCCTGTGCAAAACATTAAAATGTTCTTTGTTCCTCTTCCTGGTGGCAGTCAGAAGGTAATTATAACATTCTTCACAGATGGACACGTCTACTCAAAGTTCCCAAACATTCTGACTCAATGCTCTCCACATCTTTCAATCCGCCGTGAGTCACCATGACCTCTTTTGGCTTTTGGATCAGTTAACATTCGTTATCAGCAATAATCACCCTTCGTCAAGGAAACTAAGCTGCTTCCTGATAATAACAATGCCATCATTCTGACTTCTGCAGCACAAATTAAACTGCAATTTGGGTTTTTGGAATGACTGTGAGACTGAGAAAATAGTCTAATTTACTGGTGCTTATTGAACGCGACTCGTCTTTCCTTATTTTTCGGGTAATTTTAACATGTTCATTTAACTTGTATGTTTTGTTGTGTGTAAACTGAACTAAAAGTAGACTTTAAGGGCATTTCTTACTTTTTTATAAAACAGTTTGGGGCATCTTTTGTCTTTTGTAATTTTTCCCAAAATGTTCATCTTTGCAAAAATGAGAAAATAAAAATTTTTTTTTGGTGAAAATCTTGAAATGTACGGAATTGACCCGAATATAAGACGAGGTTGTTTTCATTGAAAATAATTTTAAAATGTGGGATCGTCTTATAATCGGGGTCTAAGCATTTACACATGCTGATATTTTCTAGGGTCATTACATGCCCATAACAGTAGAGGGCGCCATGCTGTGTGTTCTCAACAGGAGAAAAAAATGGTGACGATAGGTCTGGAGTAGCCTAGTGAACTAGACCAAATTCTTGCTTTGCAAAGTTTGGTCTAGGCATGCTCCATTGGAACCTCAGCAGCTCCTACCAGGACTCTTGCTAGCCAATCACAGCTCTCTAGAGGGGTTTCAAACACATAAAGAGCTGTGATTGGTCCATAATGGTGGGCCAATCATAGTGCTCCATCTGCTTAGTGAACAAATCACAGAGCTTTATCCGCTTTGTGGGCCAATCAGGGCACTCTATATGCCTGGTGGGTGGGATGATGCAACAGAGTGAAACAAGAGTATGTCACATTCATTGTCCAGTGGAATGCGGAGCTCATTTGAAAGACAACGGTAGAACCCGCCCCACAACCAAGAGCCGTCAATGGAGCGTGGCCAGACTAAATAATACATTTATTTAGTCTGGCTTGCCAGGCTAGGTCCGGAGCAGAGTGGACCAAAAGTGGGGCAAGTTAACACAGTAAGGCAGAGTTATGTGAATTTTAAGATGACGGTGGTAAATTCAGCAGAGGCGTCAAACATTGCATGCATGGATGCATTGGATGGCAGTGAGGATGACGTTCTGGGAGGAGCTGGCAGGTGTAGCGATCTGATGGTACACCGGGAATGCCGCAGCATGAGTGAGAATGAGAGTCAGTACAGCGTGGCAGGGGACGTCTGTAAATAAAAGCTTCATTTGACTTTTGATTTCACATGTCAGCAAAGTTCTGATAGTTTGCATTAAAATAGTATTTTTGTTCAGTATTTGTTATCGAATTTTCAATAAAAAAAGTTTGTTTAAAAGCACTGTTTTTGTTTTTCCCTGAAGATTAGTCTTGGAAAGAGGGGTCATCTATAATCGAGGTCATCCTATATTCCGGTCAATACGGTAGTTTTAAAAAATCTATTTAGTCTTTTGAGTTTCAGAGCTTTTGTATATGATGATACATTTTTTGTAAAATACACCTCTGATACCAGTCAATCCTCACTGATGCTAGTACTCCTGTAAAACCAACAACTGCAGGTCGGTCTACGCCCCATTGTAGCCTCAGCAGGTCTACCATTGGCTCAGCTAAGTGTGGGCTGGGCCAATCACAGCCCTCTTTGTTTATAAAGAGATGTTGGGTGGGTTTTGCACCATTACAGCAGGGCTGTTTATTCTTTTACAATGACTGCTGAGCTGAGGTGGAACAAAACGACTAAGATTGCGCAGGAACAGTGCTCATTTGAGACAGTATCAAATTAAGACCTGAGCTTTTCTTTGAGACATGAGCAGACAGAAGTACTTCTTCTTCTACTTCTTCAATAGTTTATGGTGGACTGTCCCACTGACTGATTATTCGTTGCTCTGATTGGTCCTAGTGCTGTCCAATTGCATGCGGGAACAGTTTGAAAGACAAATGTAGATTTCGCCCTACGACTAAGCTCTGTCTATGGGTCATGGCCAGACTATATATTTACATATATTAGATGGCTTGCAAAACTAATGAAAAAACATTTTTTAATTAATTTCTATGATTTATTCCACTTAGATGAAGTCTCTCTATGTACATGTGTTAATAAAATTATTCAAAGCAATCGGTTATGGCTGGCATGATTAACAATAGAACTAAATATGATAGACGATAACTCAAATACTTTACCGTGGAAAAAGGTCACCCCAAGAAATTGTGAAATTAACATCAGCAATGGAAAAACTGAACTTAGTAGAAAGATTACACTTTGAAGTAACACAGCAAATATGTAAAATAAAAGCTTTACTGTTATTTTGTGTAGGAAACACTTTCATTTGTCAGTAAAAAAAAAAAAATCCGACAGGTGATTTTATTCTACTTATTCAAAAAACACACAAAAATTTGTGTTTATAAATATTATGATTGTGTCCATGGCAACCGTCTTGAGACCAACTCACACGATGCTTTTAATGTTAGGGTTTCCATCCCTCATCACTGACTGAACCCTGACCCCTGAGACTCCTCAGCTGCATAGATGCTTCCAACAAGCAACATTGCAAGAGTTCCAGCTGTTTCCTCCCCAAGTTATTGTTCTACGTGCTCAGCGGGTGTTGTGAGGAGCTCAAGTTGACTTAGATTCAAAATGAGATGAGACCGGGGGAAATAAACTCATTCAGATTTTAGTCTACATCCAAGATCCCCTTCATCAAAAGAATAACAACAATCTAACTTCATCTTTTAGTTATTTTTAAAACACAGAAAGGTTTTATTTACCTGCAACGTTTTGTTTGCGGCTGCGGACTCCGGTAAATAAAACCTGTGTTTTAAAAAGAACTAAAAGATGGAATTAGAATTTCACCACAGCAAGAACACACCAAAGACGAACAGTCCAACTTTCTGCTGATTAACCAATAATTCACGATGCTGTTTACTGCCTCTGCATCCAAGATCTAATTAGTTTAATTAATCTAATTACTAAACCTGTCAACACAGACTCAATTCATACCCCTTAATCACTCATTGGTAAATTCCTTTTGAAAGCATATGATGTCAATTAAAAAAGATTGAATATTTAAGAGTTTTTCTATGTTTAGTTGTGTAACATAGATGCTGAAATCAGATACTTTCCATAGGAAATTCTGTTTCTACTTGTGCTCACAACAGCATGCATCCCCACAAAACGCCTCAGGGACGTTGTGGTTCTGGTGGCGTCTTCAAGCGATGACCTTTGGTGTCAGCGCATTCAAGTATGAGTTTATGGTTCCTGACTGGATTAAGTGCAATGCTGCCTTTGGGATAAGATCTTTGCCTGAAGCAGAGGAGTTCCAAGTATCCCAGCATCTCAGTTTTCCTGCAGTAATGAGAATGTAGCTCCAGTTTGTCTTGACGATGGAGCTCTCCATCGAAAGGAGTTAGCTGAGGCGGTTAGGAAGCCTATTGTTATGTCCCCATGGGACAAGACCCTAATAATCCCAGAACCTTTGGCTGGGATTATTATTCCTGTCTGGCCTGAAAATGCCTTGGAGGAGCCGGGGAGTGTCACAGAGGAAAGGGATATCTCCTTCCTAGACCCAACCTTGGATAAACTGAAGAAAGCAGATGGAGTCAAATGAATTAAGTAAAAATCCAGTTTGATTATTATTAATAATCTAACCTTTTTGCATGTCTGAATAGTTTGTGTCCTGCATCCACCCAGCTGCAGCCACATCTCACATCATCATGAGAGCAATGAACATGTGTAGAACAGCTAGCTCACGCTCCTAACGTTTTACACGACTGCCTTTCTCTCACATGAATTAGCATTAATAATTACAGGGAAGCTGCGGTCCATCAATTTATTGAAAAAAAAATGTAATGACCCCTCATTAAAAATAAATGAGCTCAGAAATGTCTGCACCTGATTTTCAATGAAGCCTAAAAAAACCACGACAGGAACAAAGCCAAGCTTCTGATGTAGCTGCAGTGACACACAAACATGCTCGTGAGCAGCAGCTGTGTCACACTTAAAAGGCTTTCATTGTGCATTTGAGGTTTTCTCCTTTTTCCTTCTGCACAGAAAGAAGATCAGAGACTTTCCGCAGGGGAGCCAGTGACCTCTGTGTTACAGTAGAACACCGATCATCACAGGAGGAGTAAACAAATGAACTGATCCAATGCTACAATGCAGGATTCTTTGCATTATTAATGTGGCTATTCTTATAATATATTGGTGATGTTGCTGAGGTTAAACAAATAAAAAATTGAAAAAAGCACCAAGATTCAGAATCTGTTGGTTTTCATTTAAGGATGCTCAGGAGTTCAGATATGTTACTTTTCTGATTGATGCCAGCTCCGTAGATAATTTTATGCAATGTTCTACATGAAAATACAATAAATGAATAAATAAATAAAGTTAATCCTGCAATAAGCACAACCTCTTTGAGAAGGACTGGCCCCTTTTGTTGTGGACTGGTTAAATAGTGTGAACAAAAATCGGCAACTCTTCACCTCTGTTTTCATTTTGAAAAACGCCAAAACAAAATTCTGTTTTTGTAAACAAACAAAAAAAAAATTACTAACTACAGCTAAATGTATTAGAAGAATTTACATTCAAGCAAGGTACAAATTACTTTATGTACTTACGGTAACTCTGAGCTTGTCCCACTTGTTTAA